CACTCACTATCATGAGAAAAGCAGCATGGGGGTAACCTCCCCCATGATTCAATTACCTCCCACCAGGTCCCTCCCAGACATGTGGGGATTATGGGAACTACAATTCAAGATGAGATTTGGGTTGGGACATAGCCAATCCATATTAACACATTATTATTAGTTGTTTTCCCGACATCCTTCCTGTGACCTACAGTCTTAGTAAGCACTTGGTCTGCTATGGCATAACAGGGATCCCAGGCTTCCAAACTCCCATATTTGTTTCTGTGCCGCTCACTGCAGACCTGCTAAGTTAATGCCACACATATTAGTATTTTGTTAATGCAGCACCTAAATTCAAGTTATTAATCTCTCTATTATGACTATAAAAAATAACTCTTGAGACTTTAGAGGCTTAACACAAAGGTTTCTTTCTCTCACACATCACAATCCATTCTGGTTTCAGCAGTGAAAAGAAGTAAAAATAAATAACAAAATAGTAATTCTATCTGGGGATAGAGGGGGAAATGTGAATGAGAGACACATATAAGGTATTTTAAAATTATTGATAGTATCTGTTAGACTGAGTGGTAGCTACATACACATCCATATTATTATACTTTAAATAATACATATGTAATATACTCAAGTATGTATGAAATTTTCAAAATAAAAAAATTAAAATTACTTCAGATAACTTTTTTTTTTTTAGACAAGGTCTTACTCTGTTTCCCAGGATTGAGTGCAGTTGCATGATCATAGCTCACTGCAGCCTCAAATTCATGGGCTCAGCCTCTCGGGTGTGTGCCATCACACCTAATTTTTTTTTTTGGTAGAAATGACGTTTTGCCATGTTGCCCAGGCTAGTCTTGAACTCCTGGCCTCAAGCATTCCTCCTGGCTTGGACTCCCAAAGTGTTTGGATTACAAGTGTGAGCCTCCTACACCAGGCCTCTCAGCTGACTTTTAAACCATATTAGTATACATCGACATATTCACAAGTAAAGTGCGAATGACATTTTTTCTACTCCCCCTTATCCTTCACCTTTACAAACAAGAAACTTCTCTCCTTTAAGGTGGCCTGACATTTTTGTGCTAAAGAAATTCCTCATGACTTCATACAGCCACAGTTGGCTGTCACTATGACTAAAGGAAAATGAGTTCATTTGTAACTTTGTGATCTCCTCAGACCATAGAGCTATAACCAATGACTACCCTGGGGGGATGCACTCAAAATGAATCAACGTGGAATCGCACAGGCCCACTGTGGACTTGGTGTGACACAGCCCCTCCTCCATGGTTATAGTGTTACTTTGGTTTAGCTCTACATTTCCTAGCAAAGACTTGTGGTTAAAATGAAGCAGATTTAGTAGAACTAAATCCTGTTTTAAAAAGTGAATTAATATACTGAATGATGAGAAAACTGTCAAGTCTTATTGCAATCTCATGCAGGGCATCATTAGAAGTTGGTACTATTCTTTGGCCTTTGTTACTGCCTAAGGGTGATGGTTCTTAACTCATTGGGAAAAACATGTATTTATTATCACCTTCTGTATGTATACTAAATACTAGGATATGAAATCTAATAAACAGTCTCTGCCTTACCATGCTGCTAAAATCAAGTCATAATTGTTGAGCAGAGGTGTGAGATGGTGTTAGTCTATTTGAAATGCTATAACAAAATACATACTGGGTGATTTATAAACAGCAGAAATTTATTCTCACAGTTCTGGAGGCTCTGAAGTCCAAGATCGAGGCAGCAGCAGGTTCAATATCTGGGGAGGGCCCACTTCCTGGTTCATAGATGGCATCTTCTCACTGTGTCCTCACGTGGTAGAAGGGGTGAGGGATCTCTCGTGGGCTTCTTTTACAAGGGCACTAATCCAGTTTATGAGGGCTCCTCCCCCATTACCCAATTACCTTCCAAAGATCCCACCTCTTAATACTATTACCTGGGGGTTAGATTTCAAATATGAATTTTGGGGGGACATCAATATTAAATCTTTAGCAGATGGAATTAGTACTACTTTGAAAATTTTCCACTGTCTTCTCAGACTAACCACAAAACAAAAGTGTGAATCAGTCTGTTGTGTGGGAGAAACCGAAGCAAGCACAAGTGTAACATTCAGGAGTAAGTAGGTGTGCTAAACCTCAGACAACGCAGCTGTCAGAACTGTACTTTCAGGTTAGGAGGACTGAGGGAGAGGCAGAAAGAAGGCATGCACGCAGCAGGGGTGGAAGCCTCTTTGATGCAGGGATAATGGGACAGGAAATGTTTTTCAGGCAGAGTGCAGAATCAAAGAATAAGTGAATTAGCAGCTGACAAGGATCAGAAGATATATTCAGGGCAGTTCGCAAACCAATGAACTGTGCTCACAGTGTTGTGATGGCAAGTGCTATCCTTTAAGGCAGCTTGGGGCTCCTCTAGGCCTCAGGTGACTTATCCTATCAATACTACAATTCCAAAGAAATAAGTTACTCTATCTGCTTGTGCAAATCTTACACTGGGGACTCTTGGGGGGACCTCAGGACACTATTAAGGAATAGAAACTAATCTAGTCACTTGATTTGAAGCTAAGTCTAGAAAGCCAGAATGGGACAAGGTAATGTGGCCCTAATGCCACACTGAGGAATGGGACTTAATTGTAATCAGCAGAGAAACCCTTGTACATTTTTAAATAGGGAAAGGACAGGATTAAAACTGACCTTTTCTTTTCCCCATGCAACCACCAACACAATTTACACCAGTTCCGGCTTTGAAATACTGAGTTTGCCATTTTAGTGTGTGTAATATTTTTTCCTTTCCTCCAAACCTCATCTTTTCCTTTCCACTACACTAGATTCAAGAATGTGAAAGGTGCCAGAGAAATTAAATGGCTTACATTCTGTGTTATAATTTGGAGGGTTTATATTAATAGTAGGGTTTCTCAACCTCAGCACGAATGCCATTTTGGGCCAGATAATTCTCTGTTGTAGAGCACTGTCCTGGGCATTGTAGGATGTTTAGCAGCATCCCTGAACTCTACTGGCAAGAAGCTAGTGCACCACCAGTGATAACAATGAAAAATGTCTTCAGACATTGCCAAATATCACTTGGAGGGCAAAGTCTTCTCTGGGAAGAGACATTGTTTTAGAGTAGATGTCTGTTCATTTACAAAGAAAGATTTTTGTTTGTTTGTTTGTTTTGTGAGACAGGGTCTCCCTCTGTTCCACAGCCTGGAGAGCAGCGGTGCAATCACAGCTTATTGCAGCCTCAAACTCCCAAGCTCAAGTAATCCTCACACCACAGCCTCTGGAGTAGCTGGGACCACAGGTGTGTGCCACCACACTAGGCTAATTTTTTTTAGTTTTTGTAGAGACTGGGGTGTCCTTATGTCTCTCAGGAACTGGTGACCTCAAGTGATCTCACCTCAGCCTCCCTAAGTGCTGGAATTATTGACATGAGCCACCACTACATCTGGCCTTTTTTTTTTTTTTTTCTTTTTAAAGGAGATTGGAAACAAAAATATCTAAGCTAATGCTTAGGAAGCTTGGACTCATATTCTAAATACAAGAGAAGTTTATTATCTTTTTTTTTTCTTCAACACAGTAGTGATGACTTCTTCTCACATAATCTTAGGGGCATTTTTTACTTAAAAGCAATGAGTCTGTTTCCCTTTCAACATTGTCTTTGTCTATTAGACTTGCTAGTCTAGACCTGTGGAGCAATGGAAATCTGATGCTTGCGCATTGAGCACGAAATGCTCAAAGCTGCCTCAATTCACACCCTACACCAATGCCTGGGCAGGACTTCACCTTTGTCTTATATTGGCGAGCAAACCACTTCCCGCACAGACATTGATCTGGATACTGTCAGTTCCTAATTGGAAAAACAATAGAAGTGAAATTGATTTAATTTCACTTAATACACTCTATTAAGACGTGTACACTTCCAAAAGTAATGCAGAATCATCCCATCAGAAGTTTATCTGCTCCTTTTCTTCCCATCAGAATTGTAGAGTACCACAGCAGTATTTTTGCATGCCCCCGGTATCTAAATCAGGCCCCCAGGACACAGCACCAGCTGCTCAGGAACCAGTAGACTTTGCCCAGGAACTGCCTGCAGCGATGGTTCCCGTAGAGCTCCCCTGTGTTATATGCTCTAGTGAGATCCAGAGTTTGCACTCATCCACAATAACCACCGCACTTACAGCAATGGAAAAATCATGATACAGTAGTCAAGACTTATCTGCGGAAGGATCCTTCGCGTGTCCTGACGCCCAATAGGTCTCAGTAAAATGTTCAGTGAAGGTTGAGTAGAGGGGTTTACATAGCAGCAGCCACGAGAAAATTTTATCGCCTCATTGTTTCCGTTGACAAAATAGGGACAGTATTTGTTAAATCACAGCACAAAAATGAAGTGTTTCTAATATTTTTAATTTTTTTTTTCTTTTGAGACGGAATCTCTCTCTGTCGCCCAGGCTGGAGTGCAATGGGCGATCTTAGCTCACTGCAACCTCCGTCTTCCGGGTTCAAGCGATTCTTGTGCCTCAGCCTCCCAGATAGCTGGGATTACAGGCGCCCGTCACCACACCCGGCTAATTTTTGTATTTTTAGTAGAGACGGGTTTTCACCATGTTGGCCAGGCTGGTCTCGAACTCCTGATCTCAAGCGATCCACCCGCCTCGGCCTCCCAAAGTGCTAGGATTACTGGCGTGAGCCACTGCACCCGGCCTAACATTTTAAATTTCTTAGTGGCTTGGAAAGAAACCACCGTAAAAGTACTCGCCTTCCCTGTCCTCTGTTTATGTTTGTTTAGAAAAGAGCAAAACAAACCCAAGTGTTTGCTAATTCCTAACATTTAAACTGGAAAGACTGCCCATAAGAAAGACTTCTTAAAATGTTTAGACCATCTTGAGGTGACGCCTTGCCTCCCCCCTCCCCAGGCGGCGCAGTGGGAGTGACTACGCGGGGCTTAGTGTCGTGAGAGCTGCCCTGGGAAGGGGACTTGGAGTGCGCAGTCTGCTAATGACGCGGTCTTCTAAGGGCCCCCAGGACAGCTTGAGTAGCCCCCAAGGGCAGGCCCCCGACCCGGGTTCCGCGGGGAACCCTCAGAGCGGCCTGCCTCTCCCCCAGGCGCCAGAACAGGCGACAAGGCCACTTTAAGCGCGCCCGGGGCGTGCTCGCCCTCAGCTGCGGCCAGGAGCCATTAGTGCAGGGGGCGGGCCCGGGACGCAGCGGCTGTGGAGCTCCTCCTGCTGGAAGGCTGCCCCAGGACCCAGCACGTGCGCAGCGGCCATGGCTTCCTCAATTATCTGCCAGGAGCACGGCCAGATCTCGGGCCAGGTAAGAGGCTGAGGAAGGGGAGGCAGCTGCGTTTATAACCTCGCGGGCGGGTCCTGGGCCGGTTGCCCCCGCGGCCCTCAGTGCCCGGCCCGGGGAGCTCTCATTCTCGGGGAACCGCGAGGAGCGGGTAGCAGGAAGGGCCCCTTCCAGGGCGCGAGTCCACTATCCCCGGGCCCTGAGCTGGGGAAGCGCGGACCCGGCTTCTGAGGGTGCCCCCGGGTGCCACCAGGCCCTTTGGGCCTGAGGTCGGGGGACGGGGCTGATTTATCTCAGGAGAGGAGGCCAAGGAAGAAAGAGAACTGAATCGTGTTATAAAGAAAACCCAGTAACAGATGAAATGTTCACAGTGAAACTTAATGGAATCCAAAAAATTCCAGATTGCATCACATCAGTTACTCAATAAATGTGAATTCTCCAACTGAAAAAAAAAAAAATCTTTCCCTTGACGTTTGCCCAACTTAGTTTTCGAGCAGAAGGCCACTTGTAGAGTTAGCTACCTAGAAACACGATTTTGTAGGCACTCTGGGGCTGGCGACTGGACAAAAATGAATGATTTTTATTTTTAATATAAGAAAGTTTAGGCGTGCTGTTTCCCTGCAGTCCGGTCTCGGCACAGCTGGGCATGCTTATTTTCAGTTTGCGCACTGGCGTGGCATCCCAAAGTGTCCTTCGTGGAGCTTCCACCCAAATAGGCAGCTTTGTGTGGAACCAAAGCCGTGGTGGGAAGGGGACCTGCTCTGCACGCATTTACCACCTGCATGGAAATAAAAAAGCCCACTGGCCTCTTTTGAAAGCACCTTAATTTTTCAGCCCCTTTAGCAAAGCACAAAATCACTTCTGTAACTGTTTTCGATAAAAGTGAAAGGTGATTACCCCACGAGGAGGAAAGCATAGACGAAACCTCCCCAGGCCAGAAAGCAAGGCCAGCTGGGGAGAGGGGCTTTCATCTTCCTATTTTCCGCATCTTGATAAATAGGAGAGGGCAACCTTTCGTGCTGAGTGTAGTCTTGTTACCTCTTAGAACACTCTGCAAACTTAATTTCCTCTCCTTAAGAGCAGACTTTCTGAAATGGGATTAGGATCCCTCTGAAGTGGACCCGTTTAACAGGTTTTCTTAATTTTTCAAGATGGAAGAACCTATTTAAACTCTAAGGAAAAATAGTATTTTATGGTGCAGGATTAGGCAAAGCTGCACAAAACGAATTCTGAATGAAATATCTGATTATCTAGTAGAACATAAATAATTGCGGTTTCCTTCCCTTAAGAGAGTGTGAAGCCCCAACTGACCCCTTTGCCTTTGTGAGAAGAGCCGCTTGCTCAGTTTCTCCAGATAGAGCTGTTTAAATCCCTTGACTCCTGGGGAAACTGAAGGCCCACAATTGCCCCATGAGAGCCTCAGCCCTGCAGCTGCTGCTGATTGTGGGCTGCTCTGCTCCTGGTGATAAGAGTGACATAAATAACAACTCACTAAAATGTAGGAGTGATTTGCTTTAAGCACTTCAGCACCTGCTGTTACTAATTAAGGGTTTAGCCTGCCACAGATTGCAAATGGAAATCCAGTGTCTTAAAAATTGTAGAGACTAGAGTGCCCTGCATGTTACTGTGATCACAGAAATGAAACAGTGGATGAAGTGTCTTGGTGACAATGATGTCGTGTTATTAAAACCGCCCACACTTAAAGGGTATGTACCAAGGTTAATAGGGCTTACCTTGAGTGGTGGAATTACAGTTTTCTTTTTTTGATTTTTTTTAGTATTTCCCAATGAATACATATTACTTTTGTTTACAAAGGTGTAGTAAGCAATTCAAACAGAAAAAGATATTTCATCAAACGAAGCCTAGCATTGGTTCAAATTATTGCTTGCAGGTGAAAATCTTAGATGTACTAAAAGGCAGTTTTCCAAGCAGAATATACTAGAAATGTTTATTCCTTTTTCTTTTTATCAATAGATCTTTTTCATCACCTGTGTTCATATTACATTGTCAACAAGATATTTTTAACTAAATAAACATTCAGATTTATGTTGATTATAAACTATTCCCTTAATTTGAGTTAACTGGAATTGGGATAGTGGACTTGAGCAGTGTTCTGATTTGTCCATTAACATTCCAAGTGTGGTATGGCCCTGATTTTGTAAGGCAGGGAAAGAAGCATTTGGCAAGAGAGCACATCAGTTCTTTCCGGAGCTGCTTTATGTCGTACTCCTCTGTGCCATGGTGCAAGACACTATGCAAAAACTTCAGGCTCCTGCACAGAACGGTGGGTTAGCGGTGCTTGTTTCTCCTCATCCCTTTCCAGATCGTCTTCCTAGCTACCCTCAGATTTCTTCCTACTTCCCACTACGCATATTCTGCCCTTCATAACTCTTTCTTGACCTTTTTTTCCCAAAAGGCCGAGAGATTCTGGGGACACTGGGAACTGAGCCTCTGAGGGGTATCATGCAGTCAGAATGTCATGTGCTAGCTAGGGAAAGGCTCAAGCTAGGCAGTTGATTTCTGTTATTCTAAACTTTATGCTCTGCAGGAGGCCCCGCTTCCTGAGCACTGTGATTCAAACAGTGCAGAGCCCAGCATGGACACGTTTTCCCCTCTCCTCTGGTCCCTCCCCTGCTAGGTTGATTTGACATTTTCTGTGTTCTTTGTGCTCAGGTTCGGTATTACTTGCAAAAACATGGCAATAACTACCACCTGCAGGGCACTATACAAACACTTCTCATAACAATCTTGCAACGTAAGTATTTTGATCCTTCAGACGAGGATCGCTTACGTGTCTTATTCAAAGCCACTGGTAAATAGTTGAACTAAGTGACAAGACTCTGGTCTGTCTGCCTCAAATGGCTTTGCTCCCTTCCCACTGCATCAAGCTGTTGAAAAAGGATTAGTAACACCCTTAGTAGAACTGGTCATACTCCATTCTTCCTATATTCCAAGGATTGAACGCCATGCTTTCTTAGCAGAGAAGAGGGCTGTTAGAATGTAAGCCCCATGAGGGCAAGGACCTTGCCTTGTCTTGTTTGTTCACCTTGTGTTCCTAGGACCCAGCCCTGTGTCTGTCCTATAGTAAGGGCTCAATAAATATCTATGGAGAGAATAGACATCAAGCATATTTAAGCAGATACATAAAGTGGCAGGATATTTTAAAAGAAAAAATAAACCTTACTAATATAAAGTTTTACAAACTATATCCCAGGACACCCTAGTTTATATGTGTTATTTTAGTGTAATTATTAATAATTCATTCTCAAAAGTGCCTCAGTTTGGAAGATCAATTATATGGTCATACACCCTAATTTTACTAGATAGGTTATTTTTGGGCTTTCATATTTGCTTCCATTAATCAGGTTAATTAAAAAACAAAACCATAATTGCTTCTGTTGTGATCACTTGTTAATGAGTGTTTCATTGTTTGGTTTTGGGTTCACAAAGAATATATTTGTATAGAAGAAATCATGTGCTGTAGTGGAGATTCGCAAACAGTCTGCACTCACAGGCATCACAAAGGCTTAGAGTCCCATGTTGCTCCTAAAGTGTGGCTGGAAATGAGAAGTATTTATAAAATGTAAAGGAAACACACTAGTAGGGTCCCAACACTCTCTACTGTAGAAATTCCATATTTCAAAACTCATTTAAAAGTGTTGTGCTGTGTTCTTGGAATATAGAGCATTGAGGGAAGTAGAAGGAAATAAGTTGGTGAAGTAGGTTGGTAGCAGGCTATGAAACACCGTGCTAAGGAGTTTAAATTTGTATCCTGTTTAGTGTAGGGTAGTGCAGGTGAAGGAGATTGGCACGTGATGATTGAGCACACAGGTCAACCTCCCCGTCTACCCCAAACTCCAGAGCAGATGTCTTCAAAATGTGATGATTCCTTTAAGTAAATAGCATGGAAAAAGAAGACAGGTATTCCAAATTAAAAGATCAAGGCGCTATAACAACCAAATGCAATGCATAGTTCTTAATGGGATCTTGGTTTGAACAAAGCAACTTCTCTGTGAATGTTAAAAAAAAAAAAAAAAATCCACAGAAAAATGTGACATTTAGAAAGCAGATGGGGTCCAATTGCACCTAAAACAAAAGTAGAAAATCCACAGCTTAAAAGACACAAAAGAGAAGAAATGCAGTGATAAAACAATTTTAGTGATAGTTCAGGCTCCATGTTGACAGAAACAAAGATGAAAGTAGCCCAAAGCATGCTCACCTGGTTTGAATTAGCTGGGTACAGAACACCGGGCCAGGTTGGCCCCCTGGATTTACCCTGTGGACTCTCCCAACTCACTCCTACTAAAGCAGGAGCAATGGTGCCTTTAACTGAAAGATAAAACTCAGGAACTCTTCTCTAAAGAAAATGAACTATACATGGGATGAGGACTCCTGGTATCAGTAATTTCCAGACCTCTGTAACTGAAAGAGGAAAGGAAAGGCAGTTCTTCCTAGGAGGAAAATAAACTAAAATACTTGGTCTTCAGAGTAAAGCCCACCTTGATTTTGACAATTAGCTGGTGCCAAGATCTCTGCTCTTCGGCTGTTGCTTTCGCTCGTCCTGCGCACTCACACCAAACCCATAGTCAGTTGTCCCATTAAAGGAGGCCCGCACTGAGGAACCACCACCCCAACTGCAGGAGAAATTGCCTGTTCACATCCACTTAGTTCTTGATTCATCTTTATGTTTGGAAACCAAGGATTGCCAGACATTAACAGAACTAGACAAATGCACAGATCAAACAATTAAAGAGACAGATTTTTAAGGTGCTATAGACTGAATGTTTGTGCCCTCCACCAAATTCATATGTTGAAATCCTAACTGCTAAGGGGATGGCATTAGCAGATGGGGTCTTTGGGAGGTGATTAGGTCGTGAGGGAGGAGCCCTCGTGAATGGGATTAGTGCCTTATAAAAGAGGCCCAAGAAAGATCCCTTGCTTCTCCACCACATGAGAACACAAATAAATTGCCATCTATGAACCAGAAATTGTGCCATCACCAGACATTTAATCTGCCAGTGCTG